CAAAGTATATGTGAACTGCTGTATGGAAAGTGAATTTGCTCTGTAAATCTTCACCCAAATAAAAACAAATAAATTAATAATAAATAAATAAATAAATATAATAATAAAATAAATAAATAAATAACAAAACTATAGGATGAAAAACATGTCTGCATCAACTGATTTTCCTATTTTTATTGTTCTCTAGGTGACATTGGTCAGCATTGGAATATATGGAAGTCGTTCTCAGGAGACCTGTGAAACAATACTTTTTTCTCTCCGCATGGCAACATGGAATCAAATCTTAGATCCTTGGGTGTATATTCTTCTGCGGAAGGCTGTCCTTAAGAATCTCTACAAGATTGCCAGACGCTGTTGTGGAGAGCGAGTCATCAGCTTACGTATTTGGGAGCTTAGCTCCATTAAAAATTCCTTAAAAGTTGCTGCTATTTCTGAGTCACCACTTGGTGAGAAAATAAATCAGCAAGTACCTAGTTTAATAGGACAGTGATTGGTTGCAGGTTGAGGCTAAAATTAAGAAAAGTACTGGCAATGTTTCAGTTAAATGGATACATATATATAACCTAACTGGAAAATTCAGACATCAGCATGTAGTTTGGGGCACTTTTGCCAGATTAAACCAAAAACCAAAGCCATTGCCATCAAGTTGATTCTAACTCATAGTGACCCCCATTGTGCTTCCGAGATGGTAAATCTTTGCGGAAGTAGATTACCCTGTCTTCCTTCCATGGAATGGCTGGTGGGTTTGAACTGCCAGTCTTCTGGTTAGCAGTGAAATGCCTTAGGCACTGCACCACAGAGCTCCTTATTGCCAGATTGGGCTGCTGAAATTTGTAAAATTAACTGGAAAATCTCACACCTCTACTTGCTTTATGTCAACTGGAAATGAACATGACATAATGCCATGAGAGTCAAATTGGAAAAAAAAATCTGAGTTTCTCTGTGTTATTTGTGAATTTATGTGTGCTTTTGGAATGAGTAGATCAGAGGCCTAAATAGACATACTTAGTCTGTTTGCCAGAGAACATCTTAGTGCTCCCTGTACGTTGAAATAGCCACTTTGGGGTCACTACTTTGCTGTTGTTCTTTATAGATCAGGCACAATGCAATTTTTGATCTGGTCTGTTTTACGCCTCATCGTATAGCCTTAGTCACTATATGCATGGTCACATCATATGGGATTCACTGTGGGTTAACCTTGCAAGCCTGTTCAGAATGAGACCATCCTTGTTACATTTGACAATTATGACAGCCTGCATTTGTTATGATGTAGTAAATTGTGGTTTGGGAGTCCAGGTGCAAATGGTTAAGCAAACAACTAATAGGTGAAATATTGGAGGTTCATATCCATCCAGAGGTGTCTAGGAAGACAGCTCTGGTGATCTGTGTCCAAAAGGTCACACTCTTGAAAACCCTGTGGAGCAGATCTACTCTGCCACACATGGGGTTGCCATGAGTTGGAATAGACTCAACTAACAACAACGACAAATTTTTGTTTGAAAGTTTTTTTGGTAAGTCATAGATTTCCACAGCTTTCAAATTCCCATTTTCCTCTGAAAACCCTAATGCAGTGATGCACATTAAGTACTTTTTAGAGAAATGAATACTCTATCTCAGCACACACACAGATGACTGGCATAGTAGCTTCTAAAGCTCTATCATCTATAATGGACAATGCAATCAAAGAGAACCTACATGTGAGTGATATCTGCAAAGCATAATGAATGGCAAAAGGTTTTTTTTTTTTTACCTTGAATTGTCACTTCTGCATTGTAGAACAAAAGAAACACAGTCTGCATATAATATCCAAAGATTGTCTGGAGCTACCCCCCCCACACACACACTGACATCAGAAACTTCTGTCCCTAGCAGTTTCCTTAGGTCTGTAGGATGGTGTCTTCTAAAGCCTGTGTTGCCAGCATCAAGGGGAAGATTGACAATTAGCCAGGCATTTAGGGATCATTATAATGGTTAATCAGGTGACAAAGGGATAAAAATCTCTTCTAATTTCCCATCAATAATGCAAACTTTTTTTTTTCCACTTGTTTGTATAATTCAACATGGGAATTTTAGTAATCATTCAAAATGTCCTGGGTCCATTAGCTCATAGGATAGGTAGTTCTGCTTTAGAATAGGGAGATGCATTTTTATATGAGCCCTTTGCTCTTTGTTAATTTGGTTTCATTTTAAAACTAATTTTCCTGTGAGACTGATTGCAGATTTTCCAGAAAATCTGTGCAGTTCAATTAGACTTAAATGTTTTATGTTCTTAAATTTCTGCTCATGACTGATAATTTGCACTGGTTGTTGTTATCTTATGCACATTTTGGCAAATTCTATTGAATAAAATAAAATAAATTGAGCAAATAATTTTATTGAAGATTTAAAGACAATAACTTTGCCAGTGAGTTTAAAGAAGGGAACCACACATACACACAGGTATATAATATTCTTAATTTAAGACCAGTATACAATTAATTGAATACATTTAGATTGTTCTTATATGTAGAACAAATAGATGCTTGAAAAAATACTTGACAAATTTAACTGTAGCCAAAAGTCTCTTAGTGAATATAAATATAGAATTATAAACTTTTGCTCATGTTTAATTTAATCTTACAGTTCTAGTTACATATTAATTATTGTGGGTTATATACATATTATATGTATATACACATACACATGTGTGTGCATATATGTATCCAGTGTATTTGCTTTTAAAAAAACACAATTTGTGATTGTTGTTACATTACCTAAATGGTCTCATATGTTGCAAGAGCACTTAAAGTTCAGAAGAATATTTAGATGCTTCAAAAGAGATATTTATCTCCCACAGCTACTTAAGAGTGTTGGTGTCCTGTGAAGTGAGGCACAAGGAACCAAACCTCATCTTTTCTCTTCTTACTAAGTAGAATGCTACAGTGAACATTTCTATGTACAATGACTAGGGAGAAACAGTGAGAAGAACCCTCATTTAGGGGCTCTAGGCTTTTTCTCCTTTGGGCTTCTATCTAGCTGACAGAATTGTTGCACCATGGCCATGTGTGACTGTTGCGCCATGGCACACTATGAGGCTGCTGTGACCATGTGTGTGGATGTGTGAATGTGAACGTTTTGGGGACTATCATGGGAGTCACTCTGTGCATATCCTGGAAGGAATATCATATTATCTGAGCACAGGTTTAGGGCAACCAAATTCCTCTTACAATGTTATTGAATCCAAGAAGTAGAAATGAAAAATTGTGGGAAAAAAGCAGAGGGATTGTATAAAAAGAGGTATTTACATAGTTTTAGGATTTTCTTCCATGGAAAATATAAAAGTGAGCACAATAATGTGCGTATCTAATTTAAGATCATCAAAGTAACTGAATTTCCCTTCTCATTGGGTAAAGGATTTTCCATGAAATTTCAGGAAATATTAAATCATAATCATTCTGGGGAAATGACTAGAATGACTTTTTCTGAGTATGATTTTTAGAAATGAGACCAAAAAACACCTGAGTTTTGATGATATTGATATAGGGACAGACAGGACTTACCCATAACTAGGTGTGATTGTATCCAAAAATTTTAAAGAATTTTACTGATGGATTTAGAATTTTACTAGTGGTAGAAGTATGCTCTTTTCATTTTTTTTTCCTTAACACAGAAAGTTATTTCTCATTATCTGCATAGTTTAAGTGGATGCTTAAAATTTAACACGTATTATGTGTGTCATGTAACAATCTTATTTGCTCAATTTCAGACTTAAAAAGAAGAACCTACTTTAGTTTTGTGCCTAACCTGAGTTTAGAACCCAAATAAAAGAGCAATGGTTAAACATATAGAGTGAATTTTTTTTTGTAAAATCTGTTACTATTTTCATCTGTATCACCATCATTACACCTCATGAATAAACTATCTAAAATCAGAATAGAAAGAATGAGTATGTTACATTTCCTTATCTTCATCTTCATCTGGAAGTCAGAATATTTTACCATCTACTAAATAATGTTGGAATTCAGCTTACTACTGACACATTGTAATATGGTAGATGAAATTTGCTTTTCTTTGTTATGTGAATAAATACATTTTGTGCTCTTTATACTTGTTGGATTATGTAAGAGATTAAATAGTGATATGTATATTTTGCTGCTTGCATCAATATGCTTTGATAAGAATAAAACTTCAAACAAATGATTTTGTAATAAAGTTGGACTAGTGCTTATCAAGAGGGGTCATTATTATGAAGGTTGTATAAACTTGGGATACTTGAAACTAAACTGTCAGCTTTATTTATTAGATGGGAAGAATCTCAATTTGCTTTCCATTATTACCTTTTGTTACCTGTATTACTTTCTTAATAAATGGAGAAAAATATGATCAATAGAGAAAATATTGAAGTTCTGAAGTATTTTATTTCACTGGGATCCACAATCAATGCCCTTGGATGCAGCAGTCAAAAAATAAATGATGTATTGCCTTGGGAAAACTGGGTAAAAGATCTTTTTAAAGGGTTAAATAGCAAAGACTTTGAAGACTAAGGTGCCTCTGACCCAAGCGATGATATTTTCAATAGCCTCAGATGCATGTGAAAGCTTGACAGTGAATATGGAAGACCAAAGAAGAATTGATGCCTTTGAATTATGGTGTTGGAGAAGAACAGTGAATATACCATGGACTGCCAGGGAATGAACAAATCTTTCTTGCAAGAAGTTCAACAAGAATGCTCCTTAGAAGTGACTACAGAGAGACTTTGTCTCATGTACTTTGGACATGTTATCAGGAGGGACCAGTCCCGGACAAAGATATCATGTTTGGTAAAGTAGAGGGTCAGCAAAAAAGAGAAAGACTCTCAACAAGAAGGATTGATATAGAGGGTGCAACAGTGGGCTAAAACATACCAATCATTTTAAGGATGGTGCAGGAGGCCAGGCAGTGTTTTCATTCTGTTGAACGTATGGTCACTATGAATCAGAACTGACTTGATGACACCTAACATCAGTATTAGTTTCCTAGGGTTACTGTAACAATATACCACATACTGCTTGGCTTAAAACCTGTGGTAGTTAAGTGTATGTGTCAACTTGGCTGGGCCTGGTTGAGTGGCTGGGCAGCTGGTGGTAATCATTCCCCATGATGAGACTGGCAATCAACTTCATGGTGTGACCTACCACAGGCAGCTGAGTAGCTGCTTTAGGGATATGGTCTGCTTCCTGTGTATAAGAAACAGCTTTGGGAATGGTCTCTAGTTTATGGTAGCAGCCTGCCACGGTTCTGACTGTGGGTCTTACAATGGACTTGAATTAATGGCTTGCCATGTGTTTTGGTAATATCAGGACTGTGCCATTTTATTTGTTGACCTTGGGTTTGTCAGCATCAGCAGCCAGTAGCTGCCTGAGTGAAGATGCTTCTAGCTTCAGTGGGCGGGGTGCAAGAGGCAGAGCTGAAGCCCAAGGTCGAGGGGCTTTTCACACAAGCACTAGAGCCTGGCACTTTGAACTTGGACTTCTAGCCTCCTGAACTGTAAAAGAATAAACTCCTGTTTTTAAGGCCATCCCATTTGTGGTATATGCTTGTAAGAGCAGCACTAGGTAACCAGAACAAAACCACAAAAAT